AAGATGCATTATGTAAAGGTACAATTCCCAATGAGAAATGTAATTGTGTTGTATACCTACAATGTACCAATAAAAGAATTTAATACAAAAAAAAAAAAAATCAAAGACTCCCCCATCCTTATATCAGTCTTATGTTTTGAACTCTAGAGTTTTTTTTGTTGTTTTGGTTTTTTTTGGTACCGGGGATAGAACTCTGGACCCTGTGCTTTTGAGGCAGGGGGCAATACCACTGAGCTAAATCCCTGTTAAGAATCTTTTAAGAAATACCTAGATGTCTAGTAAGCATATCTAAAATCACTGTAAGAACAAGCTTCATTTTTGTTCCAAATCCTTCTTAGGCATTTTAGTAAATGACACCATCTGCCATTTTGCTTAAGTCAAAAGAATCTAGGCTATCTTTGGTTCTGTTTTTTTGTTTGTTTTAAACTACATTCTCCACATCCAAAACACCTAGCAAGTCTTGCCATCTAGGTCCAAAAACATGTCTCAAATCCAACCACACCAATGTCATTTTTATTACCAGCGCTACAATACAATACCATTCCTTACCTGCGTCCACTCATCTCTCCCAAAGCATGTTAAAAATGTCAAGTATTCAGGTCCCCTTTGTTTAAAATCCTCAAAGTTTCTCATAACATTCTGGTTAAAACCCAACCACAATGCCACATGATATGTATGACCTGCGCTTCCTTCCCGACCTGATCATATGCTGTTCCTCCTTAGACACCAGGTACAAGCTATGTTTACGTTTTAGTTCCTCCAACACACTAGGCACTTCCCAGCATATATCCTTAACTCTTCCCCTGCCTAGGCTATTCTTTCTTTTGGGCTTCACAATGGCTGGTTTTTTCCTGTAAATCAGACTTCAGTTGAATTTTACTTCCTCAGACAGTGTTTTTCCTCCCACTCTTCTGTGGTGCCAGCATAGACTCTGGGCTGGCATAGTCTAGGCAGCACTATGCCACTGAGGCACAGCCCAGTCCTTCACAGAAGGTTTCTGTAGCCTCACAGGCCTGGTCACTCTCAGACCCACTGCATCATCCATCTTGTTTAGGTGTAGTGTGGAACTACACAGATGCTGAGTGCTGGCTGGTGAAGGTCAACAATTAAAGTGTGCAAGAACAAAACATCATCCACGATGTAATAATCCTGTTAGGCCTTACAATTAATCAAATCAGTCCAGAGTATTCTTCATCCAAATTATTTACTCAGAAAAAACAAAAAACCAAGACTCCTGCCACCTTGGTCTTAAAGTAGATACAATGTTCTGAGCCATACACTCCCAGGTGAAACCTCCTTCTTAACTCAGAGGGTTCCTAATCTGAAGAGCTAGGGAAAGTCCATCCTGATGCTGACCTCACTTTTCTCACCTCTCCCTAAGAGATGCTGCCAAAGGCCACAGCCAGCAGATGGACAGAGGACACTCACATAAGCCGCTGATGGGGCAGGCACTGCTCTTTCAAAGTATGTTAATGATTTCTTTGTTGGTTTGCTTCTCATTTGGATATGGCTTCCACTGTCCTTACTTCTTCTCTTCCTTCTTTTTCCTTTCCTATTTCTCAATTTGCATAATGGAGGAGCTGGTTTTAAAAACTATTAACAAGGGCCAGGGATTTAGCTCAGGGGCACAGTGCATACCTGAAAAGTGCAAAGTCCTGAGTTCAATCCCAGGTACCCAAAACAAAACAAAACAAAAAAACTATTAACAGAACCCTTGGTATTCATGAGTCTTAGGTCGTTCCTTTCTGGTCTCTTTTTCATTGTAGCCAGTGTTTCAAGAGGTTTTTTTCTATTATTCTTGGTTTGTCTACCTAAGCTATACTTTATTATAACTTAAAAATGTCAAATAAAAGTTTGAGCTCTTATTTCTGACTGTAAGAGCCTGGGATGGACACCTCATGTTTGCTATCAGAGCATTCTTCCTATGTCCTAAGCCAGTCTGACTTTCCACTCTGTGAAGCTGCTCAACACCAGGCCTTTCCCAATCATTTATTCGGTCCCAGTAAATTTAATCATGCTTTATCAGCACAGCTCATTTTATATTAAACCCAAATGACTCTGCTGTTGTCATATAAAAACATAAGAGATACTTGCTGTTGCTTTTTCTTGTTCTTCACTGTTTTTCTTCTTTTTTGCTCGTACCTAAAAAGTGGAAATTTTTGTGAAGACAAACATGTAATTTGTACTCAATGCCTTTTTTTCATTCCCTAATTTGTATATCCTGCATCTTCAAAAGTTACATGTACAGTCATTCTGACAGTCAAATCACACTATATGTATCAGGGTTTTTTCCCCCAGTACCGGGGATCGAACTCGGGTCCTTGCGCTTTTGGGGCAGGCGCCAGAACCACTGAGCTAAATCCCTGGCCCTATATGTATGAGGTTTTGATGAAAATATTATTATTATTATTATTAGGTACTGGGGATCGAACTCGGGACCTTGTGCTTGCAAGGCAAGTGCTGGAATCACTGAGCTAAATCGCCAGCCCTTGATGAAAATATATAAAAAAAGAAAATGAAGATTCTTAGAGCTCCAGAGGGCTTCTCATAGTCCCCATTCACCACCCAAAAAAAAGCAGTCGGGTACTATGGGGAAAAAAACGTGAGCTCTGAAATAACAGACCAAGAATGGAATCCTACCTCACCTTCATCATCTGTAAGAAAAGGAGGCAACACCTTCCTGTAAGGGGCAGTGCCTGCAATATAGGATGTGTTTTTCTTACTCTATGGTGTCAACAAATGGTAGCTACATATAAAGTGTACTTAGCATAAACCAACTGATTAAAATTCTTTCTATGAGTCAGGCATGATGGCACACCTGTGAGTTACTTGGGAGGCTGAGGCAGGAGGACTGCAAGTTCCAGGCTAGCCTAAGCAACTGTGTCAAAATAAAAAGCAGTGGAGATGTAGCTCAGTGGTAGAGCACCTAACTAGCATACATGAGGACCTGGGTTCAATCCTTAGCACCTTCCTCACATCCTTTTAAGTAACAATTATCACCCCATTTTATTTTGACCTTTAAAGTGTGACATATTAGATTTATTTATTTTTTGGTACTGGGGATCGAACTCGGGTCCTTGCACTTGCGCAGCAGGCGGCAAAACCACCGAGCTAAATCCCCGGCCCTGGATTTATTTATTTGGTACCAGGGATCGAACTCAGGACCTTGTGCTTGCCAGGCAGGTGCAGCACCACTGAGCTACATCCCCACCCCATACTAGATTTAAATATAATAAAGTTCATGTATATTAAATCCAAATATAAGATACTTTAATTATATAATTAATAATGTAAACAAATGTAATTAATATAAACTAGAGTTTAAAATTGTCTGAATGTTGAGCTGACTGTGTGGTACACCCGTGTGGTTCCTGTTGTGTCTGGGGATGACAGCAGCTGCACTGCTGATATATTTTAACAGGCAAGAGATGAGGGCTGCTATCATGCCATGTCCTGGACTGCTCTGTACATCCTGGCTACTAATAATTCAAGGAGTCAGTAACAAACCTGCTGATGATACAGTGAATGGAAGTCTTTTGTTCAGGATTTAATATACAACGCATACCCCAGGAATGTAAGTAATTTATAATTAGAGGGGAGATAGAACTTGAGTTCATTCAGAGCATTACTAAATTTTCTCTACCATTCTAGAAAATGTCACTGTCAGTAATGCTGATTGAGGAGCTTCTAAAGGACATAAATGTACTGGGTACATCCTCCATTTGTCTTAAGATTTTATGTTTTCTGTTGTTATCACACACAAGCATTTATATAACAATAATTTTATAAATTTACTTTTACTTCCTCTATATTTCTGTTAGAGGATAGCAATATAAAAATCAGTGCAGTAGTTTATATTAGCAATGAATTTCATCTCAGGAAGCATTGGAAAACATTGCTACAGAATGGGAGAAATAGGCCTGACAGGATTAAGGGCCACTATTATAGATCACAGGCAATGAAATCAGAAAGATAGGCATAAACTGAAAGGCAGAACTCGGGGAGTGGTAGGTGAGGGACAAGGCAGACACAGAGGTGGGCAGGGTGGAAGCAGGAGGGTGCTGGCACAGAGAGGAGACAGTCAGGAAAGCCGGCTGGCACTCAGCTGCCCTTGTAACAAAAGGCCAGACCCCCAACTCTTTAGACTGCACTGCTGGGAGATGGACGTGCTGCTCTCCACGACAGCCGCAGCTTTAAAAATCAATGACTCTAGCGCAGTCTTAGGTTAGAGTTTATGGTTCCACCAAATTTGGGGACTATTTCTTCTGTCCCAGGTATTACTTCATTAAGGTCCTATGTAACTCATCATCTGTCTCCTTTATTTGGTTCTTTTTGGTACTGGGGATTGAACTCAGGACCGTGCGCTTGCGAGGCAGGCGCCGGAACCACTGAGCTAAATCCCCAGCCCTAGCTTATTTATTTGTTGCAATACACTAGGCTCCTTTTTAACAGATGAGGAAACCCAGATCAAGAGAGAAATACTTTAAAGATAACTTATTGACCTGAAATTAACTAAGAATGGGCTCCAATTCTAACACAGTACAAAACTTGACAGGGATTGCAGAGATGATGTTATAATCCTCCTTGGTTTTATAGGCAAAAAAACCAAGGTCAGCCAACATTCTTCTGTACCTTTCTATTCCCCAAACTGTAACTCAAAACAAAAACAAGTTGCACAATGTGTGCAATGTTCTATCTTTAGCCATGTAAGCAAATACTGGGTTTCAATTTGTTGTACATTTAGACAAATTCTTTCATGTAATCAGAATGGTAGTACCATAGGAAAACATTAGAAAAATAAAATACTTCAGATTGGAACAGTATGTGGGAATATAGTTAATTATCAAAATAGTCATATAATCATCTTTTGAAAAATGCAACACTTACTCTGAAATGGAACAACTTTCATTTCTTTTACTCACCTCTTCAATATAATCTGATTCGGATAAGGACTCAGATGATAAAGGTTTATCTTCAGGATACATCTTTCTTTTTTTGCTAAGTCCTTTACTCTCCTGTGAAAAATGAAATATACTTATCTTCATTCAGAAATATGTAATACTATGAAATTTTATGCTTCTAAATTCTATTTCTTAATTCTTCCAATTATCACAAAATCACCCATTTTTAAATTTAGAAATGCCTAAAAATTGTGACATTTACCAAGATTTACATCTTTAAATAAATCAATGATCTTATTAAGTAACTTGAAAAGAGCTACATATCCATTCAGATGTAATAGCCCTCTTATTTCCTTAACTTACATATGACAGAATTTTAAAGTCAAAAGAAACCATGTAGATGCTTTAAGATTTGGGCCCTTAGGGCCGGGGATTTAGCTCAGTGGTTCCGCCGCCTGCCTCGAAAGCACAAGGTCCTGAGTTTGATCCCCAGTACAAAAAAACCCCCACAAAAACAAAACAAATAAAAGGATCGCCACACAGTAATTCCTTTAGTACATTTAAATTATTAAATCTACATTTTAAAAACATCTTGGGCTGGGGATTTAGCTCAGTGGCATCATGCCTGCCCCACAAGCTCAAGGTCCTGAGTTCAATCCCTAGACCAAAAAAAACCCCAAAACAAAGCAAAACACCCCCCCCCCCGAAAACCAACATTTTAAAGGTGTTTTTAAGGTTGAGAAAATGAGTAATTCTAACGAAAGAAAAGGAACTGAGACTAGGAGAAGTACTTAGGGACTGAAGCACTTTAAGAAATCAAAAATTAAAGGCAGGTGTGGTGATGCGGCACTCAGGAGGCTGAGCCAGGAGGACTGCTTAGAGTTCAAGGTCAGCCTGAACTATATAGTCAGACCTTGTCACAAAATAAAACAGAAATGCTACTTTTATCTTACATGTACATATTAATTTACATAGCTTTCTTCAAATAAGTCTTGTTCGTGTCTTTAAAATTTTCTTATATTTATATTCACATTAATACTATATAATTATAATTACATAGAATTATAGTATATAATTATATTTATATTAATGTATACTTATATATTTCTTATGAAATGAAATATTTTCTTCCTATTAGATACTTGGTTGCTATTATATAAGGGACATTTTCTAATTGCATATTATATTACCTAGTACTTTCAGAACAATTTTAAATAATGGGGCTAAAAGCAATGATTGATATATGACTTAAATCGTCAATCATGTGTATAGAAAACTAATACCCAGGGCTGGGGATTTATCTCAGTGGTTCTGTCGTCTGCCTCAAAAGTGCAAGGTCCCGAGTTAGATCCCCGGTACTAAAACCGGCCCCCCCAAAATGAAAAAGTAATACCCAAAATATATCTTACAACTCAGAAAAGATATGGAGCTGGGGGTGTAGCTCAGTGGTAGAGCACACAGGTTATGTACAGATAATGAGATCTGAATGCTAATACGAAAATGAAAAGGCTCAATCCTTATGTACCCTCAATTGGCAAAAATGAAGGCTCACAATGCTGCCATGTATGTGAAACAAGGGGACCTTCACACACTACTAACAGGAATGCAAATTATTAAGCACTTCAGTGAGCAAAATATAGCTCATTAAATATATGTACCTCCCAGAACTCAGAAATTATAGGCCCAGGTATACCTTAAAAAAGTAACAGTAACTGTGGAAAAGGAGAAATGCGTTTGCCTAGAATGCACCAGGTCTTGGGTTCGATTCCAAAACAAAAACCAAAATACATCACCACCAAAATAAAACAAAAAAATCCACAAAGCTTGATGTAAAACATTCATTCTAGCTGATATGTACATGAGTATTCATTATATGTGAAAATTTGAAGTACTTCAAAAATCACAGTGCAGTTGTTTTAGTATTCTATGTGTATTACTTGATTTTAGTTTCACACATACTTTTCAACATGTAAGTAACCATTTACTTTATAATGGCTTTGACTAACAGAAATTAATGTGAAATTATAACACACCCATCCGGCACCTGCCTCGAAAGTGAAAGGTCCCTAGTTTGATCCCCGCTACCAAAAAAAAAAAAATTATAACACACCTTTTGGGCAATTATTTTTTTTCCATTAAGTTTATTGGTACATTTTAGGTATATAATAGTTACATTCATCATTGGGATCTTGTACTTTTACATGATGTATCTTGGTTCTTAATTTTTCCCCATTCTCTTGGCCTCCCTTCACGCCTTCCACCCTTCCCTATTTACATATCTTTGGGCAATTATTGATATCATATGGTTTCTTTCCTCTGACCAGTTAGTACACAGTAATTAGTATTAGCTATAGATGAGTCATGCCATGTGCCAAAGTCCCAGCTACTCAGAGGCTGATGTAGGAGGCTCTCTGGGCACAGTTTGGGGCTAGGCTGGATGACACAGGGAGACCCTGTCTCTTAAAAAAAATAAAGTGAAGTCAAACGAAGATTAAAAAACATCTACTTACAATAATAAAGATTTTTTTTCCAAAATGTATCTATGGTATACTCAATTTGAAATACATGTCCATGGTATGTATGTTTTTTTTTTCTCGGTATCGGGAATCAAACTCAGGACCCTGCACTTGCCAGGCAGGCATGGTGTCACTGAGCTACATCCCAGGCCGTGTGTGTGTGTGTTTGTGTGTGTGTGTGTGCATGCGTGTGTGCGTGTGTGTATTCAGAGATAGGGTCTTGCTATGTAGTTCAGGATGGTCTTAAACTCATGTAGCCCAGGCTGGCCTCAAAATCAGTGATCCTCCTGCCTCAGCCTCCAGGGGTGCCTGATGTTTTGTAACTTAAAAGGCCTCCCTTAAAATGCCTTAAGGAGGCCTGGGGATTTAGCTCAGTGGTGCTGCCGCCTGCCTCGCAAGTGCAAGGTTCCAAGTTTGATCCTCGCTACCAAAAAGAGAAAAAAAAATGTCTTAAGGAGCCAGGTGTGCTGTTACACACTTATAATCCCAGCTACTCAGGAAGCTGATACAAGGCAGACCACAAACCAGCCTGGGAAACCTGGCAAGACTAACTCAAAATACATGCACCAACTCCCCAGGATGAATGTAATCATCCTGCACTGCAAACATGTACTAAATAAAGATAAAATTTTTTCAAAAGGAATGGGAAGTTGCAACTTTATATTGTATTACAAGCCTTTTAATTAAACTGTTGAAGCTGCACGTGTCGCTTAAATACCTCAAGAGCACTGAAAAGAGCTCATCCAACCTTCAGCCACATTTTCATCGACTGTTAACCGAAAATACAACTTGATGCAAAATATAAAATTTTTCATACTCAAATAAAATTGTATCACTTGTTCTAAAAAAGAAAAGAAAGAAGAGCTAGGGATGTAGTTCAATGGTAGAGCACACGCCTAGCATGCTTGAGGGTCTGGGTTCAAAAGCCAATGAAGCAGCGGTGCCCATTTGAGGAAATAAAGGAAATTTTTAATCTCCATTATTTTGTTTTTAAAATCTGAGATAATTCATCAAATAATATAAATTCAAACTTTCCACAGGAATATTCTCCTTTTACCTTCAAAAAGGAAAGCAAATTAAAAAAATTTCTTTACTGGGCCGGGGATTTAGCTCAGTGGTTTCCCCGCCTGCTGTGCAAGCACAAGGACCCGAGTTCGATCCCCGGTACCAAAAAAAAAAAAAAA